GGAATACACAGGACCAGCGCCAACAGGACCTTGCCCATGGCCAGGACAAGGAAGCAGCTGCCAAATGAGCCCTTTTGACTGTACACTAACGAACGGGGTAAGAAAATAAAAGCCCAGGACCAAGGGCTGGAGTTTAAACTTTATTTCAAAAAAAAAAAAAAAAAAAAAAGAAAAACACAAAACCAAAAACCCAAAAAACCAAAACATCCAATTTCAAACAATTATATTAATGTAGCTGCTTCTAACAGCCAACTGGTACAAGATGCGTGGTTGCAGACCAACTGCTTAAGGGCATTCTGGTTCTCAAGCCTCAGAGTATAAATAATTTTTTCATCAATATCATAAAATAACTTATTATATATCTTAGCATAAAAACTTGAGAATTAACATCCCCAAAATACAATAAAATTGTTTGTAAAATGTTTCGATTAACCTTTTTGCTCTTTAAGGTATTGAAACCAGAAACTGTAAGTTGCACTTTAAAAAAAAGAACCGTGAGGGGTGTTGGGCGTTTTCGGCGAGTGACCCAGCCGTGCGGCACCCTCACAGGACTCATTCCTCCGGCAACGCCGGCGCTCTCTTCCCTTCACTTCCACGCTCATCCCCATCGCTTCGGCATCGCTTTTCTTCAGTCCCACACAACACGTAGTTCAACTTCAGCCTACCCCCTTGACATCTGTTTTATCTTTTTTTTTTTTTCTCCTTGTTTTTTGTGGTTTTTTTTTTTTTCCTCCCCCCTCCCCCGTAATCCTCGTGCCAGGGCAGGGAGTTACTTCCTGAGCAACTGCTAAAGTATTGCAAAACTTCAGTGCAATTCGGTTCAGTTCGTGTTCAGCCCGGCGCGGTCACCGCTCGGGGAGGTTAATCACCGGCACCCACTGATCCATGTAGCGACTCTCCCGGCAGAAGCACATCAGCTGACTCAGCGCTGGATCCTTCCACTGCGAGGCATGGGGGTTCTGGAAAGAGAAGCGAGGGGGAGCGATTTAACAAGAGATGGGGGGGGGGGGAGCACAGCAGAAAAGCCGGGAGCACGAGTCATCCTGAATTGCCGCTCAGGCAAACCAACCACCCCACCCCAGAAGCGTGCGCGGAGTTTTGCAGCCTTGGACTCCGGGGAAAAACAAAAGGGGAAAAGAAAAAGGAAAAAAAAAAGTTCCC